TGCTGTCATCATTCGGCAAATTTTCGTCTGTATCAAAGTTCTACTCTGGTTAGATATGACCAAATATGTGTACTAGATGTCTTACTTTGAGTACTTCGTTATGTTCCGGATCAGTGAGGCCAAAGCATAACGCTCGCACCAATAGAGATGACAACTTTTCAACTCGTTGTGCAGCTAAATTGGCTTTCAAATTTGTTAGCTCTATTTAACCATAGTAAGAGAATAAATATCACACACCATCAAGAGCACCCCAATCGAGCGTCTATATATGTTCAGAGAATAGTAAGGTATGGTAGTGTCAGGCTTACTTTCAGCTTAGCCATCAGCATCTTTAGTGTCGTTAAGAATACACCTGCTTGTTTATGTGTTATTTCCTGAACATCGAATCCTAATTCCTTCAGTTCCTCAAACTGTTCGTAAAACCCAGGTGATCCAATTATAGGCCAAGGGATAATACTGAGGCGACCCTTATGAAGCCTTGTTAGGAAATTGCTATTTCTTTCCTTCTCAACGACTCTCTGGAATTGCTTGTGAAATCTGTATATGGAAATTAGTGCCTTGGGTGGAGGGAGTAATAGTTCATGTACTCGGTAGCTATCTCCTCTGATTCGGAGTCCATAGTATCCTATAACTATCTGAGAGACAGGATCCAGATCAAAGTTGAGACGCACCCGGATAATTATGCTCAAAGTAGAATTGAACAGAGATGGGTTGTCTTGAGGATCCAATTGCTTGCACAGTTGAAAGCTCTACGATATTTTTAGCTCCATCATGTTTGAATTCAATCTACTAACCGTAAATAGCTCGTCGAGATTTCTTGAAAAAGCGGAGTTGGTTCGAAACAAGACCTACGAACTGTCAATGTGATGAAGATGAGAAAAAAAGGAAATACAAGGTTAGAGATAGCAGAATTGAATAAAACAAGGAGGGTATCTGAAAATATATAAATATGTCAGTGAATTTATAAATCTTGCATTATTCACCATCCTGATCACTGCGTTCAGGCGAGCAAACCCCTGAAAAAAGAT